TCGACAGAGCGGTGTATGGAAACCGACGTCGCGTATCCACTTCGGTCGGTAGAGCGGTATCGGAGAGAGGATGTCAACGTCGCGTATCCACTTCGGTCGACGGGATGTCTAGGATCTCTAGGAGTTTTGAGTTCTGGTCGGTCGTGCGCCTGAGAGGAGCCTTCCGATCAATCTCCCTATGTCAATTTTCTGTCGGCTTTTATATTAAGTTATAACAAACAGTTCGACTGTTTGTTGACCTTGCGGTTATTCCGCGCGCGGTTGTTCGGCGTTTCTTTGTTAGTCTTGTAATTATTGTTTCGGCCGTCGTGACGAATCTCCAATCGTCACATATTATATATTATTGGAAATATGCATTGAATACATTAAAGAAATTTAAAATGTATTCCAAGAAAAGAAAATATGTTTTAATTTCTACATTATCCATCATTGACAATAGATATTCTCCGTTTTTACTTTTGTCGCTAATAACCATTTCTTGTAGAAAATGATGAATTATATCCCATGATTGTAAAAGTCTCTTGACACATGTGTGATGATACAGCTAACGTGTATCGCTTAATTTTAACAATTTTTGATATTTTTCGTGGAAATTGTCGCAAAACTCGCGAAAAATTGCTGTACGTTTGGGACTGCTATTAATGTAACTAGCTATTTTTCTTAAAAAATCATCATAAAAAGATGGTATTGCACATGCTGCGTGCGCAGCTAACGCAGCAGAATAACATGGGCATGGAAGTGTTAATACATTTTTGCACATTTCTTGTAATTTTGTTTTAAAAGAGGAATATTTCCCTGTCATTATTGCTACATTATCGCATGATAGGGCAACAATATTTAAGAAAGGAATATGCAATTTCCACATTTTACATTTAAATGCTTCGAATAACTTTTCGGCACTGGAATCTCTCGCATCAATATTGATTAATTCCATTAATTGTGATCGAATATCTAATGTCTCTGGATCAACATATCGCACGAAAAATGTCATCCATTTTTCATTGCTAATGTCAGATGTCTCATCAATAACAACAGAAAATTTTCTTCTTTGAAGCTTTTGAACGATATGTTCCTTTTCAGTAGGACATATAACGTTCGAAATTATATTTTTGCATTTAGTTCGACCAATGCTCATACTTTTCAATACATGAGCATCTTGTCCTATGCGTTGAAAAAAAGTTGTCTTTTGCACTTTGATAACGTATGTTTTTTTTTTTGCAATTGAAGCGGCATATTGTATTTCCGCTGATTTTCTACGTTCATCAAACGATAAAAGAGATTCTTTATCTTGCGTATCTAAATCTTTATCTAATTCGCACGCTACTATACCTTTATTTTTGCATTGATTTAAGTGAGATATAGATTCTGCGTGCCGTTGAACATTTGATAAACGGGCAGCAAAAGATACGTCACAAATTACACACAAGCATAAATTTTCGTTATCCGGAATTTCACGTAACCATAATTTAAAATTATCTATGTCTAACCATTCGTTTTTAAAAACATATCTTTTCTATTTTTTATCTTTTAAAGCAACGGCATGAACAGGAGGTAACGCAACATTTTCTTTTAAATTGTTTCGATGACACGGAGAATCCGCATGTCTGGAAACATGTGTTGCATTACATGAAAAATGTTTATTGCATACTGTGCAATAATAAGCACTGTCATTGGATGATACTTTACGTATCCAATGTTTATAACGTTTGTCACTAAACCAAGTTTCTACGAAGCTCCGCTTAGGTTTTTTCGACAATGCATCGTTGCCATGGTGGACAAAAACAACAAAGCGAAAAAAGCGAAAGAAACTGAATAAAGAACTGAATAAAGGAAGGATAAAAATCAAAGAAAAATAAGAAAATATATGTATTATATATGTGTCGCAAATAGAGGTCAGGACCCCGTGGTTCGTCACTTCCGCAGTATTTTTTTACCTCAAACCCTCTATCTGTTTGTGTGTAAGGTGCGTGTATATATGTGTGTGCGTGTGTGTGTCGCAAAGATCAGGACCCCATGGTTCGTCACCTCCACAGTATTTTTCGATTCCAAACCCTCTCTGTCTGCGTGTGTGTGTGCGTATAGAGAAGTAATAGTGAATGAATGAAGCAAAAATGAGAAAAAAAAATGAAAACTACCTTGATAATCGCGAAAAATATCCTCACAAAGACGTCGATCCGGACTCGGGTCCTTGAAGCCCCTTTCTTGACCCATCATGCATGAACATGATTTCGGTTTTTTGGACGGCCACCTTGAGGCCCATCCTTTTAAGGGAACACTAACTGGTCCACCGCCAGACCAAGGCGTCTCGCCAGCCTCTGCCCCCGGCCAGCACCAACGTGTCGTCTGCGTAGCAGACGACGGCGCGGCCGGGGGGAGGAGGGCAAGACAGAGAATTTGGTCATATGCTACGTTCCACAGCAGGGGGCCTAAAACAGATCCTTGCGGAACGCCGCAGTAAACCGCCATTTCGCACTAGAGCTCCGCCTTGTTACGGAACTTCAGCATTCTACCCCGTAAGTAGTCCCGAATAATGGCGACCAAGTGGGGGGGTCCTTGCACGCATGAGCGCCTTCGACAACGGAGTCCCTGGACCCCGGCCGCCTCGATGAGATCGTGGGGGTTCTCTTCACGTAGGGGGACAACAATGTCCCCTCCTGCGAGGGCCCCTCGTCAGACGCGGATGGAGAGGACGTCGGGGTCACCGAGGTGGAGATGGCTAAAGCCGTCAAGAGGCTCGGCGCCAAGGGTAGTGCGCCAGGCCCAGACGACATCCCGGACACGGTTTGGGCCTTGGCCGTGCGGGAGGATCCTAAAGTGGGCCAACCCTTCCTCCCGCTCCCAGAAAAAGGAATTAAAGTCGTTGGCGACATCGAGAGACATTGCCAACATAATTCCCCCCCCCCTTCACAATGGCCTCCGAGAGGGACCGGACGCGTAAAACGGCGTCTACCGTCGATCATCCCTCCCGAAAGCTGTACTACTCGTTGTTGAGCCTGGAACTATTTCGGGATAGATGCCGGACGAGGCGGGAATGGATTATTCTCTCGAAAAACTCTCCCGCCTTGTCCAGCAGGCATATCGATCTGAATGCGGATCTGAAGGCTGTTTTCCGCCTTGCCCACCTTTCTCAAGAGGACCAATTTCGCTTTCCTCCAGGGGCTGGGGAACACTCCGGTCTTCAAATCCCGGTCACAGGAGGTGAAGAGACGCGTAATGCGGCCCTCCACCTTCCGCACGACCTGGCCCAAGCCGTGCCCGGAATGCCGTCCGAGGCCGGCGCCTACTCTTGGCGCCGAGCCTCTTGATGGATCTAACCATCTCTATTTCAGCAACCCCGACGTCCACTCCATTCACGTGACAGGGGGTCCTCGCAGGGGGAAGAAATTGTTGTCCCCCCCACGAGAAGAGGACCCCTACAATCTCGTCGAAGAGACCGGGGTCCAGGGACTCCGTTGTCGAGGGCGACCATGTGCGCAAACGTTTCATCACAGTATGATAAGGGCGCCCCCACGGATCCCTGTTGAGGATGGAGATAAGGTCATGCTAAGCACATATTTAGCCCTGGCCGTATTTATAGCCGCTTTGAGCGCTTCTCGCCTTTCGCGGGAACCTCTCGGCGGCCTACCATCCTTTCCCACTAGTTTACGACTCTTTTGGCATGGACGGTTGAGCGTCTCATTTTGGCAATCTCCGTCGTGCACCAGAACATGGACCGGCGGGGGTGCGACCGGGACTGGGGCATGGCGACGTCGCACGCGTCCTCTATCATGCTCCAGATCCCATCCACTTCCTTCTCTATGGCCTTCCAGGACTCCGGAAGGGGTCCCGACTCGGCCCAGCAGGCCGCCTTTAGGGTGGCCATTAGCATGTCGCGGTCGAGTTTCGTGAGAGCTCATCTCCGTGGTCGGGCGCCCCCTTGGTCGCGCCTCAGGAACACCTCTTCCGGGATGACGATAAGCCGGACCTTAATATAACGATGATCCGACAGGCTCTCAACCTCGGTTGCCACCCGTCATCTCGTTACCAGTCGGGTCGCGGAGGAAGATGTCAGTGTGATATCTATCACCGAACGACCCCGCGACCCGACAAAAGTGCTCCTTCGGTCCCTGTTTAAAATACAGAGGCCGAAAGAAGCGACCCATCCCTCTAAGTCCGTGCCCCTGAGATACGTGACCGAGGACCCTCACAACGACGATTTTGCGTTGAGGTCCACGGCCACCAGGCCCGATCTATGAGGGCACTTTATTATGAGGTCTCCCAGTCGGACCAAGAATCCTTCAAAATGGACACGTCTCCAGGAGGTTCGGGCGTACAACCCGACTACATCCAGGGCCCCCCGCGGCATAGCCTTCACCCTTCTCCAATACAGTGAATGGGGGAAAGGCCTCATTTCCCCTTCAGAAGATCGTCACCGAGCATCCATTCCGACCCGCAATGTCACCCGCTATAGACGGGTGACTCCTGGGGACGGAGTAGGGCTTGGCGGCGATTCCCACCCCTTGTTGCGCTCGTGGAGCCGTTCTAGGAACAAGTTCTGAGCCTCACGAGCGTGATTCAGATTGGCTTGAAAGAGTAGGATTGCCATTGCTGACCAGCTCCCCGCTTCCTTTCAGACCCTTCCTTACTTTTGCTGCAAGGGGAGAGGAGCCCCTACTTGCACTCTCTATCCCGCGGCTCTTCGCTTCCCTTGCCCATGGCCTCCCTCGGAAGCCTCTGCCTCTTGGGAGTAGGCTCCGCAGAGTGGTCCATAGGCTCGGGTTGGGGTCCGCCCCGCTTAACGCGGGGAGTGAAGCCCTCTCCCTCTCCTTGCCCGCGGGAACGGAAAGTTTGAGGGAGACGTAGTAAAGGACTTGCGCCACCCTCCTCCTTGCCTCCCTTTCCTCTCTTGCCCCCCGGCATGTGGGGCAACCAACCCTATCGCCATAGGGCCTGCCGACGTCGCGACACACGGAGTAGTACACCGACGCGTCGCACGCGGTAGCCCTGTGGCCGGCCGAACCTCAGTGGAAACAAAGACCACTGCGGTCAGTCTTGGCCTTGCACGTGGCCCTGACATGGCCCAACTCCAGGCATCTCAAACACAGGAGCGGGCGCCGTGCCAGGGCCTCGACGCGGACGGAGGACCACCCCACTCGGATGCGTCCTTTGTTCACGATCTTCTTTGCGACCGTAACAGGGCACTGTAGCCACAGCGTTTCTATACCCTCGCTGCCGAGTCTTATCGCCCCGACCTTCAGATTACCGGACCCGTAACTCCGGGCGGCGGCCATCGCGGAGACTACATCATCCACGGCAACCCAGTCATTAAGGTCGCGGACCCGAATTTCAGCCCTCTTTGTCGGACGCGCGATGCGCACGTCCTGCTTGTCGGCAAAGAGGACCGACATTTTTTCGGCCAGGGCGTTCGTCCTGGCATGCCCCTCGGGATCGGAAATCTCCAGCACCAAGACGCCGGTGTCTGCTCTCCTGGTACGGTCCTCCCCAATTCCGTTTTCCCCTTGGTCAATATTATCCCTCGCCCGCCGCATAACGTCCGCGTAGCTGCCGTTAGGACATCTCACGGTCAGAGCAGCGGAGCGAGGGACCTTGGGCAAGGCCTTTACAGGTTTTCTGTCTCTGGCCTGGGGGAAATTCGCCTTCCCTTTCCCACTCCACCCCCACTTCCGATGAGGAAGGGAATCGACAACGGCCGGTGTCACCATCGCCACTTCCCAACCCCGCACATTCCCCTCTATCCTTTCAACAAAGGAGAGGAGCGGCTTTCTACAGGCTTTCTACGGGCCTTCCCCGTACGCCTCTGTTTGGTGTCGTGGGTAGAAGAAGAGAGAAGGAACTCATCATTCCCCTATGACCCTTTTTTTTCTTCTTCCCGGAGGAGTCCTTTCACTTCGGGTGCTCCTCCGTTGCCACCATTCCCGGGGGAAGAGCAGATGTTCGACCCTCCACAAACCCTCCTCTTCGGAGGTCGAGGATCTGGCTCCTCAACAGGGCGTTCTTGTTTCGGAGACCTCCCATTTCGGTGGCCGTGGCCTCGACCTCCGTCCTTGTCAGCTCACTCGCCTGCTCGCTAGCCGCCGGGCCCTGGATGTATTCAGCCATATTGGCCAGGACGACGCTGCAGGCCGCGAGAGTCTCGGTTGCCTTCCAGAGGACCTTGACAAAGGTCTCCTTCAGGTTGCCGGATTTTTCTGTAACCCTGTAAATTCCGTGCAAGGATTCTAATGCCCTGGACGAAATCTTGGGGGCCCAGTACCCTCCCAGCTCTCGGATGAGCTCTTGCTCCTTTTGGAAGTCAGATCCCTAAAGGCTCTAGGGATGCCCGGCTTCAGGGATAGATTCCGAAACACGTTCTCCACCATAGCCACTGCCTTTTTCAATCTCGGCGGGAAACTGCTGAGTGATTCCTCCGTTCCTCGATTGTTCAAGGCCTGCCCGCGATTGTCCTTGGGGTACTCTTGGGTTGCGGGGGAAGATCAACGATCGCCGCGTCAGGCCCCAACGCCGGTCCCCTGTCCTCCCCCGCCTTCACCCTCGGATCCAGCAAGAATGTCTGCTTCCTCTTCCCCGCCAGGAATTCCTTATTTCCCGTTAGGTCCACTGTAGCGGAACTCAACGGGGTCGACGGAAGTGTCCGGTCGGTTGATTATGACCGGGCCGCAGAGCGCGACGGTGTTATGTCGCGCCCCTTCTCTTCAGAGCCTGTTCCGGACATTTGCCCTTCTCCGTGCTTTTCCTCCCTTCACGCGCTGGAGGAGCGTGTACGCGCCCTGTTCCACGCGCAAAAAGGGTCTAAATGGAAGGATCTCCTCGATCTCTGCAGCGGTTTTGTAAAGCCGTCCGCGCCTCTCTCTCTCTCTTTCTTCTGCGAGATCTGGTTGGTCTCCAAGAAACTGCTGGTGGTTTTGCAGCCTCTACTCGGACCGACGATGTTGTTGCGGCCCTCGAGACCACTGGTGGCATTGTGGCATCTTCCTCCCTAACTACATCTATGAAAGAACTATCCATTAGTAGTTTCTTCCACAAACCCCAATGGCTTCTTTTTCCGGGGTATCTTCCATCCCACCACCGAAGCAGGGAGCGCCAGGCGTACTCGCCGGCATATGGCTTTGGCATCGGGAGCAATGCTACAATCAGTGCACGAGCCTCCAGCTCCTTAAAATCGAGAACCAGGCCGGTTTCGGGGGTCCTGGTCCGCGACCTTCCGTGCACCGTTGAGCTCGCGCCACGCGGGGGGCTCTACGAACGGGCAACGGCGAAAGCATGTTGCGACCCACTCATGCCGCGCACCGCCTTAGACGCCAGCTGATGACTTCGCTCGGGAGCACGACTTCCAAATGTCGAAATCGCCCTTCTCCCCCCTTTTAGCAACTCTCCTTCGCTGTCCGACCGGCCGCCCATTGGACAAAACCAGCTGCGCCGTCTCCTAATATTATCGGGCGCAACGGCCCACCCGAGAAGAAAGACCGGTAGCTACATTGGCCTTAGGGACCCGGTCGCCCCCGCTGTAGGAACAAGGGTCATCTGCACCGGCCGCCCCATGGACGACCGGGCGCGCGCGCCACCTCTGCTACTCCTAGGCGCAGCTGCCTACCAGGAAAACCGGTACCACACTGGTGTAAGGGATCCGGCACGCTTTCATACTGTAAGGATACCTGGAGTACGACTTCCGAAGCAGTAGAGAAGTTCCTAATACTTATGGACGCAGCAACTCACCCATGAAAGCCTTTTAGTCGCTTCTTACGACACGTAGGCCATACGTTTGGGGTATTCTAAAGACGCCACACACACGCCAGCAACGGACACCCCTGCCTCAACTCCGAATTCGTCCAATATCTCCACTCTGCATTCTCTCCCACCCTTTTTTTCGTTGACCCAGGAGAAATGCTTTATGCATACCTAGAGTCCCTGAGCAGACTCACGAGTTATGTGGAACTATCCCTCCCCATAGTGGGCAGATGCTACCCCGTTAAAACTCATGGGGGACGCCTAAAAAGGGTGAATAGGTAAGCCGGGATAATTGCTATTGGCATTACTTCCCCGGCCCTCTCTACCTATGGTCTCCCTTCGATCCTGGACCCCCCCCCCCC